TAGGTTTGATGGAATAAAAGAAACAGAACAAAATAAATGTTTTGTATAAAATGCCAAGTATTTTACTTTTGACATTGATGATAATGAATGGCTGAGGTGACCGTTCAGAGGCAATTCAGTCGGTTAAACGAATGACATACGACTAAGCGACTGATGTAACTTTGGTATCACATCTAAGAAAATCAAGATAGCGAACAGAGATCATATACTATTAAATTTTGTTAATATTTGATTTCATCAAAAATCGGCCGGTCGATTGGTTGTACGATGCGTATCGAAAAAAATATTGAATGTGTATTAATGCAATAATTAAATTGGAAGGTGGAAACTATTTTAATTGTTGCTTATGCGTAATATTTTTTCATAAATAAGTTAATGTTTTTTTTTGCATTTACTCAATTTTTCATATTAAACTTTTGTTGGTTAGTGATAAAAAAAATAAATATTATTCAGGAAGGAAATAAATATTTAAAAATCAACTACTGTTTCTTTATTGTAATTACGTGTTGTTGAATGATAAAAAATAAGATGAGTTGATGAAATCATATATCCTGTATTTTTTATCTTGGTATCTTCATCTGGAAGAAACATTCTTATAAAAATGATATGGTTAGATGAAGTTCATTTTTATAATTATTATTAATTTTCCGACAATTAAATAACAAAATTATATTGAATACATGCAGGCAAAATAATTTTAATTGTATTGAATTTAAAAATATTTAATAAATCTGAAATGTTTTGTATTAACAAGATGTGTTTTTATTTATTTTTTGTATATGGAATACTCACACAGAGTAAATATCTTTAACTAAGTTATTTTACATGAACTTATTTTACTAAAGAAGTATTTATTTAATATTTTATATAAGTAAATGTTATATATTTAATAATATAATTTACAGTATACATTCAAATATTGATTATGGATAATATAGAACACATAAATTATTTTAAGAAAAGAAGAAATTGGTATCTTTGTAAAATGTAATTTACCTGAATTGTTTATTTTCCAAAAATAATATCAATCTACACTTAAAAACTAATATTTGTCTTATAAAAATATTAGTATAAATATTTTTTTAAATACTCTATATTCTACATTAAAACTAACATTTGCTTCAAATTATATAGGCTAGTTAAACAACAATAACTTATTATTGTACGTTTCACATGTAAATTTTTCAATTGACTTTAATATATAATTTTAAATGAATTAATATTTTATTTCGGATTGTATTATATAGATAATAGTTTTAATTTTATTAATTTATTCATCTATAAGTATCTTTATGTTAATAGTATATGAACAAGTTTAATAATACTCTGATGTAACGCGGAGTTAAATTTGAGAAAAAGTTGTTAGAATTTAAAATGGTATTTTATCGATTCGTAAGTATATTTAAATATACCTATAGGTATTTATTTAGTATGCAAACATATTAATGAAATATTTAAATTTAAAATGCAATATAAAAATTATTGGTTTTATAAACTCATAAGTATTCATATAAATGTTATTTAAATTATAAAATGGTCGAATACAATTTGAATAACAAATAATTGCTTAAAATAATTAAATAAATCCAAAAGTTTTTGAGAACCTCAACGTTCGGTTTTTAATATTAAAGTTAATATATTGTTATAAGTAACGTAATTCACATATGAAATTGGGAACTATGATATTGATCATTATTTATTTAATTTATAGTGTAAAAATGTTACAAACATCAAAATAATTCTAATTCGTAGCAGACAGTTTAACATACATTTAATACTATTAACCTTAAATCAATATTGTTTTATATTAATCTAAAATTGGTCAAAAAAAAAAAAAAAAAATGTGGACGAATTACATTATGTAAATTTTTTTTTATTAATTCCGTTAATAAATCGTGCACATTAACAAATAGTTATTGCTAATTGCAGTTATCAGTTCTATTAAAAATGTATTTTAATTGATGCAGGTTTAGTAAATATTTATTTAATATTTTATTCGATGATGAAGCCATCAATTAAATGTAAAAATGTTTCATGATTAAATAGTTCAAATTATTATCCAAAGGTATCAAGAACTCTTTAAATTACTTGTAATATATTGGTTTTGATGTGTGCTTTAGGTCAGTTTTTGTAGGACGATACTTATCATATTAATATTTACCTATAATTTAATATATATATATATATATATATATTTTACTAGGTACTGATATTTACATACTGTATTAAAATTATAATATTTGTTTAAAGAAGAATCCATTTACTATATATAAGTATTGCTGAAGGAAGTGAGATACTGGAAATATATTATTCGTGTATGATAAATTGTTGATAGAACGATGAAATTACAATTTTTTTTATTTAAAATTAAAAATTTGTCATATGAAATATATAATTAACAGTAACAATTGTACAGAACTGCTATTATGACAAGTACTTTTTTTGTTAAGGTAGGTATAGTTTAAAATAAAATGTAAATAAAAAAAAAATGTGAAAATTCATAATCCAAATCATTAAAAAAATAATTAAGTAATCATTTTTATATATATGCACATAATTTAACTCGTTAGTCATGGAATTTGAAATAACAATTATGATTATTGTATGTAAAATATTGTGATTTTACAGAAAATGTTAAACCTATTTTATAAAGGAATATAAAAACAAAAAATATAATGCATTATAGTTTAGATACATGTAAAATACAGAGGTATTTTTATTTTTTGAAGAAAAAATCACAATTAAATATTTGGTGCATATATATACATGTATGTATTATGCATTAATTGGAAATTTGATTGTAGATATGCATACTAAATATTACAAAAAATAAAATAGTTATGTTATAAATTTAGTTTAATATTTTATAACAGAGACAGCCATTTCAAAATCGTTTTAGAATTTATTTTTAAGATACGCATACGAAAATTATAGATGTTTTATCATAAAACAGAACTTTTGAATGGAATTTCAATCCTCAAAGGTGAAGTATCTTTTAAGTAGCCGTCCCTGTTTTATATAATTTAATTTTGTAATATACAACAGTAAATGTTGTAATTTTAAACGAATAAATGAATTAATAAAAGTATAAACAAAAAAAACCAAAATAAAATATCACTTTATGACTGTCTCTAGAACTATTACCATGCAGTTTATAAATAGAATCCATTTAATATTTTAAGAACAATATTATACGTTGAGGGTTTGGGGATGATAGAAATAATATACCCTACTACACAATTATAATCTAAAAATACACTTCTTTTGTAATAAATATGTTACGAAACTATAAGTTCACCCTTCAGTTTCATATATTTAAATGTTTTTATTATTTCAAATATGTAACTATGTGCCAAAAAAAAAAAAAAAAAAACAGTAAAATAAATAAAAAATACAAAGTTACTATGTTTTAAAATACATAATAAATTATATAAAATGTTAATTACAATTACAAATTAATTCACTTATCTAAAGATAATGATTAATACAAATTTTTGATTGAAATTTTGAGTAGAATATTACAATGAGACTGATTTCAGTAATAAAACAAAAAACTTAACTAATGAACTACTAATTTTTTTTAAGCTTATGATTTTTTTTATGATTCTTATATTTATTTATAATTACCACAACATTATAAACAAATATTTTTAAAGAAAGATTAGTTTTTATATTTTAGTATGCAATAAACGGAAATATATAAACTAAAATATTTTACTAGCACTGTCCACAACATTGAAAACCAAGGTCAAAATACATTAACACCCATTATTTAGTTAAAATGTGTCAAAAATTATGATTTATACGTGCTTTTATAGTAAACACAATATGGATAACATAATATTTTTTATAACAATGTATTGATTATTTCTTCACTAGTATTTTTCAACTATTAATGCTTTATTTGAAAAGAATTTTCATTTGACAAATAAAAAAAAAAAAAAAAAAAAAACGATACGTTAAATTCCGTTGTGATTGTTAAATATAACGTATTAAACGTTTTACTTCAAAAAAGTCAATGGTGAAATCAATCAAAGAAATTTGTATTTACTTAAACAAAAATGATGAAATATTGTTGTTTAAATTAGAAACAGAAATGGTTTAATTTAAGTAAATTGAACAATAACGATTCTAGATTTTAATTACTAAACGAATAGGTGAAATTAATTTGGTTGAATTATGTTTTATAACATTTACACTATTATTCGACTAGATTAAAACAACATTAAAGTGTGCCAAGGAGTTAAAGATTGTCTTAAAATATAGAAAACAAATTCAGATTCGCATTTATATCTAATTCTATTTGTCTAATATAATTATATCATATATCGTATATTAATATACATTAATAATATAGGGACTATTCATTTTTGTAAATTGTTGTAAATAAAATAAAAAAATAAACAAATAAAATTGTTTTTGCAGTACTCAAGATTACTGTAATTTCTCTTTGAAAAATGGCAAATATTAAGTAGTGGAATAATTGCAATTGCGCAAGGACTGGCGAAAGCAAGAGTTCCGATAACAAAAAAAAGCTACCGAATATGTAAAGACACAAGATCACATATTATTATCATATTTTCGATGAACGTTTTCAATTAAGCCAGATTAGATTGCATGGCGATTTATGATTTTGATTAAAATTATTATTTAATCACCGCAAATTTTATCTAGGGAAAAAATTCACCATTCATATAACATTCATTACGAACAACGATTATTTTCTATATTTTTCGGTATTCCTACTATTGTTTTCTTTTTTTTTTTTCACAAGCCCATATGAACCTATACAATCGTCGTCAACAAGATTTCGGACCAAGATTGTACTGCGTATTACTCGATGCGAACTACACGGTGGGCGATCCCTGCGGTGCGTGCACGGAGGTGGACCGCGAGAAGCCGAGGGACAGACATCGGGACCCCGATCTTTTTCCGGCTGTTGCGACGTACGCGGTCGCATTCGCGTGTGCCGCCACCACCGCCGCCGCCGCCGCAAGCAACGGCGAAGCGATTCGCCAGCAGTCACGGTTCGGACTCCGTTACGGTTATACTCGACTGCCGCCGCCGTCGATACGTTTTAGCTTCGCGCGCGATCGAATACATCGTTATTTCTATCGTCGTATTAGTTGTTGTTGTTGCGGTTGTTGTTGCTGTTGTTCCATAGATCGATAGTGAACAGTCGGCAAAGGGAAAACGTGCGCCGGTCCTTTAGAGATTCGAAATCGAGTCGTAACATTTATCGCGTCCACGTCGTAACGCAGTGGTGACGCGCAACGTGTTGATCTGGGGTAGCGATCCACCTAGTGCAGAAATTTGGATTACCGTCGGATCGCGGTGCAGCTACTTGATTGCTGGGGTAAGTACCGTTGACTGTGCGCCGGTTTGAGCCGTACACCTGACGCGCGCGCCACCGCCTAACGAGACCGGTCCGAATCGAACCATTCTACGCCATCAGTTGCGATTTCGTTGGAGATCGGAACGGGATCTCAGCCTAGAGCAGCAAAAGGGTTGCGTTTTGGTGTGAAGAGTTTGCGGCAGCATTCGTGCTAGGTCCGAACTCATTGTCCCACCATCCCGGCGGTTGATTGGTTTTCCACGTGCAAAAGATTTCTTACTTTTTTCTGTTCATTTTTTTTCCTCTGGACCAACGCGCGATTCGTTGGAACTACCGCGGTGACACAATCGCAATTACGATCACATGAATTACACCGATGCGCGTTTCGATGTCGGTTTGCGAATTGCAAGATCCTTTCGGACACGCAGTCTAGAAATCGTTTTAAGAATGCCCAATGTTCATTAAGTTTTCGGTTTTATTTTTATCTAGCCATCATGGAACTGGAAGCGCACAGTTTTCCTACATGATGATTAATCACCGGTAGTCGGTTAACTTTTGTTCCGGGTAAATTCTCGACATAACCGTTAAGAAGAGTTAAACATTTTTCCATAGAAATTAACTCATAAATCGGTATATTTCAATAAAATGCTAATTTTCAACGAAAACGATTATTGTTCGTCAATATTGATGAATTTAATGTTGGACAACTAATTTATGTATATTCCTTGTCAAACTAATATAAGTATTTAATAATTATGTACTGATTGGCCTAGAACGTGTACTTCAAAAATAAAAAAATTAAATAAAAATATTATTTTATTTTGAATTAATCGATCCAAGTACGCGATTATGGAATACTTTTCTATTAGTTTCATTACCTTATATTGAAGTGGGTACCCAGTATTTATTATTTATTAAACTGAAGATTACATTTATACGGTAATCTATTAACATAAAAAGAAAATATTAGGTATACACTGAATTATTATTCGTTAAAATTAAAAATAAATAAATAAATATGCATATAAAATGTATTCATTCTACAAAAAAACTTCCAAGTTTCAATACTCATAAGTTGAATTAAAATATTACACAGAATACAACTATTTTGAAGAGTATTTATGTACGACGTTTTATTAACACAATGAAATCCTAAACTTTTTTTTTTTATTATTAAAAGCATGGTTTTAAAAATGTGCATGATGTATCATTAAAGTCAAAATGCGAACATTATTTATTTATATTTTTTCTTAATTAAATATGTTCTTCTAAATAATGTTTAAATTATCATCATTTTTTTTTCGTTATTTCAAAATATAAATTTAGATATGATTTATTTATCTTATAATTTTCTTCGTGGTTACAATATACTATTGATTGTTACTTGAAATTACATATATGGTAACAAAGAGTCATCCAAAAAAAATATATAAGCAATATACAAGTACTCTAAGATTAAAAATCCAATATCTTTAAAAAAATGTATGGTTTTCTGTCAGGTTGATGGAAACACTTGAAATTTCTGGTATTTAAATTTTAAATTGTTGAATAAAATTATTAAAAAAACACCGACAATTATAAATAAATGTAGTTTTGCTAGTATTTTTTTATTTTAAGGAAAAAAATGCCTGTATAAATATTTTTTGAATGTGTTTATGTGGTTGAAAAGATATAAGTCATCATAAACAACATAAGCTCATTAAATTTAACTTTCATATGTTAGTAATGTTTTATAGCTGTTACAATTGAACTGTTCTATAATAGTTAATTTAATATTTTATGTTAATATTAGTTAAATATATTATAATTATATATATAATTATTATTTAATAATGAATCCTTGAATGTATATTATATTGTTTATGACATTTGTATTAATAAATTAAATTTAGTACTTTTTTATTTAAAAAAAAATATAATATTTATTTACAACCGAAATTTATTTTCTTTCTTTCACAATGATTTATTGTTAATATGGTGTTTTTGGATAATAAACTGGAAATAGCAAATGATTTAATTTAATGATCAAGCAGGATGAATTTTTTTTATTGAAATTTAATTAAAAATACAAATCAAAATGAAGAAAAAAATAATTAGTACGTTTAGTATTATTTTTATTTACAAGAAAAAACCAAATGATTGAATATATTTTTCCTTATATTCTTTATTTAGCTAAAATATAAATGCTGAGAGAAATACAATTTAATTTTCGACAATGAACAATCTCAAAAATAATTTGCATTATTTTTACTATTTTACATTGAAGTAAAATCGAATCGTTAGTAATTTTAATGCATTTAAGATTATTTCTTTTGCGAATTAAGTCTTAAGCTTATTGAGAAACAAAAACATATTTGAAAACACATACATACCATTTATGTTAAATACTACTTTACTGTGGAAAGTTAAATCAATCTTTGATTATATCTTTATGGAACACTTTTCAATTTTTAATATTTTGTTCATATCAACAACTTTATTAATCTAAAAATTAATTTTCAAACTATAGGACAAGCTCTTTTTAATTGTTCATTCACATAGTTAGCCCAAAAGAAAAAAAAATTAAACTATAGTGTAGTAAGAATTGAATTTTGTATAAACAATTGTTTTAATCATTTGGATCTAAAATTGACTTATCAAAATAAATATTTGTTTTAAAAAAATAAGTAAAGTGTAAAAATGTAATTAATTAATATTATAAATTAAACGTATTCATTTTTCATTTTGTAATATAACATATACTTTGTATATAAATACTTTATTATCATTCTATTTTATTTTTTTCAATTTTAAAATATTTAACGTCAAGTTAATGGTTTTAACTAGTAAAATGACTTACACTGTAATGTAGCTAATATAAGATAACTAGAGTAAAGTTGCCATGTCTGATTATTCATCATTTATAATTTAATTTTAGTACATAGTAGTATAACATAAAATAGTCATATAACCTATATATATATATATATATATATATATATATATATATTTATAGTTATATAATTGAAGTATTCACAATGAATATATACGTTAAATCTTAAATATAACATATCGCAAAATAAAACGTTATGTCATTAATGTGATAGTCAATTGATTGCAACCGTAATTACGTTTATTTTCCGTTGTAATAAAACGTTTGTTTTACTGACATTAGTGCAAAAATAAAATAAAATGTGTTAAAGTATAAAAGAAAACCTGTAAACATCTGTAAAACATAAAGCTGAGAATTTCCTTCTTTTACTTGAAGCACTATTATTCCCGGGTGGGGAGTGTATTGCTAATTTTTTTTTAGAAGAAAAAGATTTCTCTCTCTTAAAAACAAAAAAAAATTTTCAATAAAAAATTAATAAAATATAAAACAATCATAATATAATTTATAATACATATTTATTAGGTATGTTTAGAACTATATTTTAATTATTATTGTTATGATTGATAGATAGTATTGAAAATTTTATCGTTACATTATAATTTTATAAATTTTGTGTGTATATATCTTGACAGATTTATAATTTTTTTTTTTTTTTTTGTCACTATTACCCAATTTTTTGCTTGACACAGTTATTTCCTTTCACCTTTAGTTATTAAAAAATTAATAAAAAAAAAGTAATATAAAAATATATTTTATAACGTATCAAGTAACTTAAACTCTAATCTCTAATTTATAGAAATTAAAATCAATAAGATTTATGTATTGACCTTCCGACCTTCAAGAGAACCAATAATACAGGTTATACCAAATAAAGTTATACGGTAATATGCCAATGGATCGGAAAAAAAATTATTATTGCGATTTCTTACAACTTACACTTTATAACTAGAATAATTTAAGAAATCTATTTCGCTCTGCATATTGATAATTAAATTCTAAAAAAAACCAAGTGTAATGAAAGAGAGGTGTTACGCCATTTCCTTTTCTCTTTTACTTCTGACATGACGATTAAAACTAAGATAAAATGTAAATAGCAACAAACATATGGCACTTGGTCCAAATTTAATCGCTTAACACTTTTTATAATTTTTATATTATGATTTACATTTGATACAATTATAATCTGTCTTCTATTTTTTATTCACTTTACGTGGTAACATTTCATGAGGTATTAGCCATTAGGTTAGGTAATTTAAAATCAAAAATGAATGATTATTTATAGTTGCGTTTATTATAATAATCATAAGTTCATTGTTGAGTTTATAATTATAATAAATAAATACTATTTTTATTTTTGAAATAATTACCATTGCTATTTCTGACGTTAATATTTAAAATATTTGCAAGTAAAATTAATTATAATTTATATCTTTGTAACTAATAAAATAAATATTTTATAATAAAAAAAAAAAAAAAAAAAAATGTAGATTTAAAGTAATACCAATTTCATTGTTTCAGACTCAAATAACAAATAATATATAAAATTAAGAATGTGTTTATCAAATAATATAAACAATACTTCAATAACCGTGAAAGTAAATTATCGTTGTAAATGATCAATGAGCCATAATGTACAAATTAGTTAGTATTTAGTAGTTATTAGATGGTAGTTAGTTGTTAATTATTCATTATTAAACGGTCAGAAAAACATCAGCGCTTGTGTGATCAAATGTCTTAAATGTCAGTTGTTCCGTTATGCAAACCCTATGTCGCTTATCCTTATCCCTTTATCTTGTTTCTTTTGCCTTTTATCAGTCAATATATTATTATGATTTATTTTTATTTTTTCTTCGGTACCAAATTTTTTTTTTTAAATCAATCGCCATCCGCTGATAGAATATTCGCTCTGATATGTTGAAACACCGAAATTACATAAATTACTATCATACAATCAGTATTAAATAATAACACGGCTTCGTGTCTAGCAGTGTATAGCTAAACGCAGAGTGCGTTATACGTACAACGTTCAAATTTATCATGCGAATCCATACAGACACATATTATACCAGTGTACGATGATTTATGAAGTAATCGCTTAATAGTGTAATGGGTATAACCACATACCCTAAAACAAACATCTACAATGGCT